AAAAAAAAAAAAAAAAGATTGGTCACTAAGCTAGGTAATGATACCATGATCCCACCGTTGAGCAGTTAAAGATGCCACCACGTGATTAGAAAGGAATCTATGTGGAACTATTTTGGCATTATGCTATATCCATTTCTTCATCAAGCATTCATTTAATGAGATTAACAGCAGTTGATAAACTCTGCCCAAATTATTAATTTTACTTGTGGTATGATTTACTGATTTTATCATTTCTTCTACATTATTAGCTAGAATTCTATAAAGTAAAACCTTCCCTCATCACCTGGAACTACTTGGTTACTTTGACATACAGTTACTACAGGAGAAACAGGATAAATATTTAATTCTTTCCCTTTATCAATTTTCAAAATAAAGAGTTGATTAAATAGCAGTTTCAAATGGTAATATGAGTTTTTTCTGGCTTTATTTTTTTTCTAAATAGCATACAGTCTCATGAATTTTCATTGGTTCATTGTGTTTGGGACCACAACAATTATTATTCTTTTTGATACTCAAATTTTTCAGTTTTGTCCAGTTGGACGACTTGAAACTGGTTCTTGTGTCCCTTTGTCATAAGTCCATTAAATATTCAAGGTGGCCTTATTCTCTGGCCCCCAAATTTCCCTACGCTCACCTTGTATTTTCCCTGTCACAAAACTGGAATCAGCCATTTCTCAAAAGACCTGTGGGTCCTTTTAATGGGGAATGAAATTAGAAACCAAACTTTGGACACCTGGGGTGCTCATTGTTACTATGGTGTCATTCCCCTTAGATTATTTCAGTGGACAGGGGCACTGTGGTGGCTCATTCGGCTGAGCGTCTGACTTCAGCTCAGGTCATGATCTCCCAGTACGTGAGTTCGAGTCCTACATTGGTCTCACCGCTGTCAGCGCAGAGCCCACTTAGGAGCCTCTGTCCCCCTCTCTCTCTGCCCCTCCTCTGCTCGTTCTCTCTCTCAAAAAAAATAAACATTAAAAAAAAAAGATTATTTCAGTGGACAGAGCTGGAAGATATATGTTTTTAAAATAATGAATTCATGGGGCACCTGGGTGGCTCAGTCGGTTAAGTGTCCGACTTTGGCTCAGGTCATGATCTCACAGTTCATGGGTTTGAGCCCCGCGTAGGGCTCTGTGCTCACAGCTCGGAGCCTGGAGCCTGCTTCGGGTTCTGTGTCTCCCTCTCTCTGCCCCTCCCCAGCTGGTGCTCTGTCTCTCTCTCTCTGTCTCAAAAATAAATAAAAACATTAAAAAAAAAAAGTTAAAAAAAATTAATTCATGATGATATATTCAATTTTAACATAATGTTTTATTTAATTTCTTTGACTTCATAATCATATTGGAATTGAAGGGATGGGGGATGAACATGTATCTGTGCCAGAACTTTCTAACAAAAACAGTACCACATATGATACCCATAACATTACTATTTCAGGAGAAATAAAGTACACTCAAATTGTGTACTTTCAATGTTTACTGATTAATATGTCAGGAGTTAAGTAGAAAATAATAACTATACTGAGTTGTAGTCCTATACATTTTCTTAGATATTTTACCACACTGCATTAGTTTTCTTGGGGTTTTTGGCCATTTGTGTTTGGTGGTGTACTTCCATAGTGTTCTGATTTTATCTAAATGAATATGCCATAAATATTAATTCAACATTATGATATTAATTATAGTGATTTTTAAAGTAGAACCCATAATCTCTGCTCTGACAGCTATTAAAGAAAGTTATTGGGGCGCCTGGGTGGCACAGTCGGTTAAGCGTCCGACTT